AGGACAGACTGATAAATCAATGTGATGATCAGTTATTAATCTCAGTGTTACTGAGCTGTGCTAAAGTCTGAGTAGACTGATAAATCTATATGATGAGCCAGTTATTAATCTCAGTGTTACTGAGCTCTGCTAAAGCCCGAGTTATTATGTGATGCAATGTGGCAACCTGAATCAGGACATCAATGGAAAAAATTCCTCAGTGCCTAGTAACTTTATGCATTTACTGCCTCTTGAACTATGTTCTGCTTTTAACTATGTCTCCAATGAGTGAACACTCTTTTATCAGGAAATGACTGTTAAAGGAGTGCATGTTCTGTCTTACAGCTTTTTTGCTCATCAGCTCTGTTTGAGCTTCTGGTTGACTTATGCTTGACACGTCTTTATCATTGTCTTATTGCAGGTAATAACTTAGACATAAAGCACAGGCAACAGACTCACAAAGTGCTCACTCACAAAGACGTGACAAACGACAGCAGCAGTTTAAACTTTAAGCAGAGATGAGTCTGGTTCAGTTTTATCTCAGGAAATCTTCAGGGCCAGTGATGACATGCATTTTTCAATTAGTCACAGCTAAATTAAGAAATTAATAAATTAGACAAAAGAGTAAATCAATTTCTTCTAAAATCAAACATATTAATAGGGGGTTTACTGCAGTAACAGCCTCTACTCTTCTAGAAGATTTTACACTAGATGTTGGAACATTGCTGTGAGGATTTGATGGCATTCGGCCGTGAGAGCATCAGTGAAGTCAGATACTGATGTTGTTTGATTAGTGCTGGATCACAAACGTCACTCCAGCTCGTCCCAAAGGTGTTGGATGGAGCTCCATCACTCCAGAGAACACAATTTCACTGCTTCACAGCCCAGTCCTGCGGGGATTTAAACCCCTCTGCAGGTTTTCTATTGAACAAGTCTTACGAAAAACAGCAAGATTAGAAAAAAAAAGATGAAAGTGTGCTGTAACACATTTAGACGAATGTTTGTTTATTTGTTAGGTAGACAGCTAAAGCTAATTTTAGTGTGAATGCTTGCAGAAAAAGTATTTTTTGCTCATGTTTTCAGTAAAAAATGTAAGCTTTGATTGACTCTACACATGATTCTGTATAACTGTAGTTCAGCTGCTCAGCTGCTTTAGTCTTGTATTTTAATAGTTGCATGAAAAGTAACCAAAAAAGGACAATTTAAACCTAAATTGCAACTATTTAAATTAACTGTCACCTAAGATTTCATGATTGTGACAGGGCTAGCTGAATTCACTAATTAGAAGAGGTGTTTTGATACCTTTGGATAAATGGTGTATATGTCTTTTTGATTGTCTATGTGAAAATAAGTTACATCCTCTACAGAGAACACACTTCTTCACATTTTAATACAAATTACTGTTTAAAAAAATCAACACTACATTCGAAACAACAAAACAAAATTTGACTGGGGTATTTTTACCCCAAACTTTTATATACAACTGTATAGTGAAGACTTTTTAAATAAAATGCACTATTTAATACGTGAAATTCTAATGTCTGTGAAATTGGCAGCAACTTGTCACAGTTTTGAGAACTTTGAGCCATTTTTCTGCAGTGTAAAAAGGTCACTACTGGGAGCGGCTCAGTGACAAAGACGGACATTGTAACTGTCGCAAACTGTTCTGTTGCTAGTGATGCTATTTTGCACCCAACCCATACTCTTTATAGGCAGAGAAATGAGCATTTATGACCAATAAACTTTGGATTTCTACATTTACAAATTCACATACGAAACATGGAGGGGCTCAATAGCAGACACTTATCTGGTGCCTCACGGCTTTTCACTTGTGCCATGAGTTTAGCAAGGAAATAAATTGCTGTAAAACATTCAAGTGTTTTGTAAGACATTTAACAATGCTGGTCTATCTATATTATGAGGTTTTTGACATTTCTGGCAAGTAGTTACGGTTAGCAATATCATGAAGGTTGCACTGATCACTGTAATATCAACATAATAGCCAAAGAAGTAAGAATATAAACATAGATATGAAGAGAATCTCATCTCATCCATGACATTCAACTGTCCAAGTTTGGAAGGTTTACAAGATGCTATCAAAATTTCCATTCATTCTGAAGAGAAATTGTAGTGCTCCAATTCCTTTTTATTAAATGATAGTAATTTTGTATATGTGTGAAAAGTTACACTGTTAGTGTAAACCAGATCAGAGGTGATGTCCTAAGAAAAGAAGTGTGTATACTACAAATCAGGCCCATTTTACACTTAGTCACCACAAAATATCTCCACAAGGCACTCTTTCTGTTACACTGTAATAGTAAGCAAATGTAAAACATACTTACTATGCAGATACAACTGACAGTTTTAGGTACTGAAACAGTTTTTCAGCAATTATTTTTTCAGTTTATTGTGCAATGATGAAGAATGCTACACAAACTTGTTTTCATTCTGGCAGGTGTTGGATGTACACCGAGACAGGAGTAACACTGGATTGTGCTGGCCTGAGACAGGCTGGAGTGACACTGGCTTTTGCTGGTTACACACAATGACTGCTTATTTGCTAAATTCACAATATTGAAAAAAAAACTAAACATAAAATGTGGTCTGTGCCTAAGTTATGGCACATTTTGCTTTATTTTTTCCAATATTCAGAAAATAAACAAAAAAATAGTCTAAAATTTGCAGAAAAGTGCCATATTTAAGCCATATCGCTGCTGTCGGAAGAAAACCTCTTATCTCCATTTTTGTTGTTCTTCAGTTTTTAACATAATTTGAAAATGCCCCTCTACCCCTTTCATGAAGAATGGACCAAAAGAAACGGCCCAAAATCTGGTTCCATTGACTTACATTAAAAGTAAAGTAGGTTTTTTCCTTCTGCTGTAAAGTTACTATTTTGGAGATACAAGGTTTTCTTCTGACAACAGCGATATTTATGTTCCCTGTAAAGCACGTTAACTTATTTTCATTTATAAAATCAACAAAACATATAATTTGACCAGATGTGTTCAAACGTTTTGCATACAACTGTAAATGACAAGATCAGGGGTCTCATTTATCAAAGCGTAGAACAAGTTTTAATCAAGAAAAAACAAGAAATGGTCAAAGGCATTGCTGACCTCAAGAAGAAGCTATGGCAGATCTATTTAATTTGAAAAAACTCAGCTCCACTCTAAAGCAAATGATGTAAATGTTATTCTTATTGGCAGTGCTGTGTAGCTCATCACGTAGCACATCTCCACCACACTGTATCACTCATGTCATAAAGGCTAGCACTGTGTAAAGCCTATTTAACTTATAAAGGTTATCATTGTGAACAGCCCCAATATCTCAAGGTTAACACTGTGAAAGCCCAAGGGGAACTTCACCAATTTTTCAAACTTTCTACATAATTAAATGATAAAGATGTAAACAAAGTTATTCAGAGTGACTTAATGTGAAATTCTGTGTTCTAGAGAAACTTGCAGAGTCAGAATTGTACACAGTGGTCATGATAGGAACCAGACATCCGAAGCCTCTAAAAGCTCCCTCACAGAAAGTTATTACACAAAATGGGTATGGATACACTGCCTGATACCTGAAACATTGTTTTACGATAGTATGTGATACCGTTTTTGGCCTAAATCATCTTGTTAATCAGTTTACTTTAATCCATTCATGGCGGAGGGGTATACGCAGGGCAATGTAAGGCAAAATAATCCCCAAAGAAAATTTTTTCCCTGATTTTCAACTATTTTACTACCTTCAACATTACATACAAAAACTTAGAAGACGTGTAGATTCACTGGTGGTTTTCTTTCCTATCTTTTTGTCTTAAGTTCTAACAGGATTTTTTTTACAAATTTGTATTACAGAGGAAAATCTTATCTTAATTTAGGAATCTTTTCTTACAGCATCTTATCTCAAGTTAGGAAATCTTAACCTACTCGATCGAAGTTGAGAATCAAGTGTCATGTCTGTTACCTAGCAACCGACCATATGCGCACGGCTGAAACAATCCAAGTAAACAAGTTAGTTGGCCAGACAGCAAGCTACTGAAAAAAGGTCAAACAAAACTATCTATGAAGTATCGGAGTGTCGCCGCTCCCCAGTAAATTAATGGTCTCTGACTCGTCTCGGCCTCGATATCATGTGGTATCTCACTTGTCTCTGTCTTGGGGTAAGGTGGACTCGAAAATTGTTCTTGAGACCAGCTGAGTATGATGCCTCTCTCTGAGGCCTCTATAATTATTGAACATCAACAGAACTTTGGAATAGAGTAAAACAGGCTTTTTTACATTTTTAAATGAAATCTGTTGGTTGAGGAACTAAATGATCTTTTCCATGATGGCTTAACTGGGCATCATTTTTTTGTTGATTTTTATTGGTTCCAAAATTCAGAATGTTATTATTACTACAGAGTCCAAAAATCCAAACGGAGACCACATTGAAAATCCTGGTAAACCTGGAAATAAGCACAGAATTTGTTTGTTTGATGAAATTGTAAACACAGAAAAATCATGACAAGTAAAATGAAAAAGAAATTCTGCTCTATTGTAGGTCACTGTCCAAATGTAACCAAATTTATGAAAGCGACCATGTTGAGACCTTAAAAAAGGTCAGTTTTTTTTGTCTTATTTCTTTCACTAAAGCACGTGTTCACGTCTTGCCACAAAGATGGAGTCCATTTTAGCTCAAGAGCATGCTGTTATTAAGGCAAAAGGGGGACAAATCAAACACTACGAAATTCTAAAATTCATGTAAATATTTCAGTGATTCACTTAAATTGTTATGATAACAAGACTTGTTGGCTGTAGGCTTTCTAGCTACATAAACTCAACTAGGCAGAAATGCTTTAAATTACTTCGGATTTAACAGAAGAAATAACAGCACAAAACCTGGGCTACTTAAAACTCATCTATTTACCAAGTTAAAACATTGCAAAATAGCAGAAATAAACCAACCAATACTGATGGTAGAGCAAGGGGAGGAGGAGTGTTTAAATGTGCAGCAGCAAAAGTGGGTGGGGTTAAAGGTTACTTCTCACCTTAGTTTATCACACTAGCTTCGCAGCTTCAGTTCTAAACTAAAAAAGCAAAACATGTCTTAGCTAATTAACTACATCCAGTTTAAGTTTTCATTTGAAATCAGTCTATTTTACCTGAAATCTGATTCACATACCTTCCCTCAGTGGAGTTTCGACTAAAAATGACAGCATCCTGGCCAGTCATCCTGGTCAGTAGAAACAGATGAAAATCAACCAATCAAAATTCTTCAGTAAACCTCAAATGAACTCGGATAACCAAATCGTATTCTCGCACCTTGCAGACATGTTTTCACCTATTCTGTGAAGTAAGTGTTGGGTTTGTTTGGTGTTTTGGCCTGAACTGTGTTAGCACTGTGCATTTCTATAAGACGACTTTGGATTTACCATAAAGAACATATGCTTGGTCCATCTCATTAATACACATTACACACGCTCATCAAGCATGCATTTTGCACCACACTATTCTGTTACACCCTGATCTTAGAATATGGAAATATGGCAAATCTGGAAAAAAAGAATAAAATTTAATTTAATATAATAAAAATTAAACAAAAACTCATCATGAGAAGTCAGTATATACAAACAGTCCAGTAAAAAGTAGGTATATGGCGTATGCAGGCGTATATGCCCGACTACACACAGAATGTTTTTGAGCTAATGTTAGCATTGGGCCAAATTTTAAACTTGCCTTGTTTCATTAAACTCAACAAGCTTTACAAACTTAACAATATGTAGTCATTCTAAACAAACTCTAAATAAACAATTTCTCATTGTTTAACAGGATTTTTGCCATTGTTTTGTAAAACCTGTCCAACTTAGTAATGAAAGAATGCATTTGCAGATGCACCACAGACAGATCAATTCAGTTTAAAAGAGAAATTTTGATTTCTCAAAACGTCTGTGTAATTCAGTCTTTGAGATGTAAGCAAACACTTTGAGTGAACGTGAAAAGGTGCATTATAGAGAAACAGACAAAGTGATGACAGCTGATGTCTACAACACAGCCTTTTTATTTGCTATCCAATGACTAGTGAACCTACATGCGTCTTCTTAGTTTTTATACGTAATGTTGATGATAGTAAAATTATCTGGGTGCTATTTTGCCATACAACACCCTGGATGTACCTACAAGCCATTAAAGAATGTTTTGGAGCAACATCTCTGACATCTGGTCAGCATATTTAAGCTATATTTAATCTAATTACAGCTTTCTGTGATGTAGTAAACACTACATCTGTCTGGTTCCTATCTCCACCACTCTGAACAATTTCCCTTTAAATTTACCAAACAATGCAATGCATATTTTTAAACAAATGGATTTTGTGAAATATGCCTTCTGAATTGGCTGGAAAGAAAACACACAAATCTTCATTTCAAAATCTAATCCCGACATCCTGGTCAACACCTGTGAAATGACTAACCTGGACTGTCCAGTGGGTCAAAAGGAGCAGTCATGGTGAGTAATTGCATTACTCTAATAATCTTTAAACACAGTTCAGGCTGAGCACACCTTAGCAAAAATATCCAAAACTGTGACGTTCCAAGGATATCTAATGCCACCTGCTGGAGATTAGAGGCAGGTTTCTTATTATCATGATGGCTGTAAAAAAGACAACACTGCAGTGATTTTCAGCGATAATTTGGACTACACACGACCAAAAAGTTGCCTCATTTGCTGTTTTCTGAGTTATTTTTTTAATGACTTATCCATGACAATAGTGTAAAAAAAGAACACTTAATTATAAAGTGTCTTGCAAGAGTGTGCAACGTTTTTGAATCTAACCCCACCATTTTCTGGAATGCCGGTGACACACATATTTTTCCTATCAGTATATTTTGTGGACTCATGCTCTAACATTATTTTTTCAAAGCTACAATAAGTTATTTATCCACAGATATTATAAAGGAAATGGGAATCTGAATTATGCCTGTTGTTTAAGAATTCAGATGCAACACATCGTTTTCACAGTGCCACACTTTGTCTTCTGGGGTATTTTTGACACTCTTCTGGAGTGTTTTCATCCCTATTCATCAAATTCTGCAGCAGGTTGTTCAGGTTGGTTGGATAATACATGTTGCTAGTGTTGCTTTGGCCTTGTGCTTAAAATAATTGTTTTGTTAAAGGGACAACTTCCTCCTAAGTTTCAGTTTCTTACCAGTCTGAACTTTCTCAGTCATTCTTCCTTTAATGTTAACAAGATGCCTGATCTTTGCTGAGGAAAACTATTCCCACAGCACAACCTCTGAATCTGTCCAATTTTGTATGTCATGCTCATACAGGGAAATCTGGGTTTAAGCATTTTTTTCTCTATAGAAAAAGGACTGGCAAATCTTTAAATGGCTCATTTTGTCCTGTGTACTTTTTCCTTGAATGTCACTGAATCCTTACAGGGTTTCAGGAGTTACAGGGTTATTTAAGAGTCATAATCCATATTTTGCTACATTGATGCTATAAGCAAGATAACAGTTGTGCACACTGAAATTGAAGTTACATGAAAATAAGTCCACTATTAAACTTCAACACTACTATTCAACACTAACAGCTACTCAAACTGTACTTCTGCCAAAGCAGCTTAACTACCATACTTATCAAAGCTTGCAACCAAAGCTTGTGTGGGGAATATGGTGTGGATTCACATTTTGGCAAATTAATAACTTCTTAAGAGTATCTTGTGATGTTTGTAGGAAAAACATACATGGGACAAAATGTTTTGGCAAAGTCTTGTGTATCACAGGGAATAATCAAGGTAATTTTTTCAAGAACATCAGTTAATTTTTTCCCCACAAAGAAAAGCAGATTAATTCCAGATTTCCTAAAACGGGCTTGTCTTCATAGGCAAAACGACGCGATGACTTTAGAGGTCAGGTACTTTTATGGTTTACAGGTAGACACCAATTATATCCTTGTTGGGAATTTTTTCACTCAGAGCTTTCGGAGTACAGGAACTTAAAAACTTATGTTACTAGCAGATTTCAGTTTTCTATTTTCTATATTCTTTTCTATATTCTTGCAAATAACTTGTAAAGTTTGTGTTGGAGCACATGTAGCGTTATTCATGCCATTTGGAATGGAATTTCAATTTAAAATGTTATTATTTTAAATCTACATGATACAATCTAAAATACAGATTCTGAGCTGAAATTGAATTTTAAGGTTTTGTTAGAGAGCAACAGAAAATTTGAAACTGGTGAAACTGGATTTTTCGGCTGATGAACGTCTAAAATTCATTTTCTAAAAGCATTCAGTTTCTTCTATTACTTGTCATATTTTTAATTTTACTTTCAAAGTAACACCCAGGTGTCTTTCAAGCAAAAGCAGTTGAACACTGAATCTCCTCTCTGCTCCCCCCTGCTACCTTGTACCTGCACTTACTGGCTATTTCCTCAGAAACACCTACTATACATACACTTGCAATTACTGACTGTAGCCCATCTGTTGCTGCCATTTGTTAACCCCCCGTTTCTCTACCCCATCAATCAGTACAAATGGACCACCACAGGATCACTGCTGACCTGATATTATTCAGCTGATGTTGTAATAGTGATACAGTAGTGCATAAGTGCATAAGGCCTGCTGCTAGGTGCATGTGCAAAATACATTCATGCTATGTTAACATATGTCTCTGAAGAGATTTGGTGTTTGATTGCTTTTGACTGCAGGACACTTGCATGAGGATTAACAAAAAAAAAACTGAATACCTTTTAGAAACTGAATTTCAGACATTCAAATGTACATCAAGCATAACATTCATACAAACCTTAAAATTCGATTCCAGTTCAGAATTCAGTTTCAGATGATAGGATAGTTTCAAAATAACATTCAAATTTCTAATGGCATAAATCTACTGCCATACATAAGGCTTCCGTATAAAGTAATGACTAGGAAAAAATTGTCATCATTTACAATATAGAAAGTGTTGGTAACTTTCAAGGTGGTTGAATACTTTTCCCCAAGGCACTGTGGCATCAAAGAACACCTTTAGCAATCTCCTTTAATCCGTAGATTACTTCTAAACGAAATTTACAAATACAAAGTTCCACATAAATACATTATAACTGGCACTACAAACACTAAATAAAATATATAATAATAAGAAATGAACATCCACTAACCTACAGTTGAATGCAAAAGTTTGGGCATCCCAGTCAAATTCCAGATTTTATGATTTTTGAAGTGAAAACAAATAACAACCTTTGCAGCAAAGTATTTAGTGGTAGTTTTTCCTACCAATGTTAATGCACAGTTACTTTATATTTGACTAACTATATATAGTTATCATGACATTTGAAGTTCCTCGACTGACATTTGCTTCCAGAATTTGCTGATATTTAGTGGAATCTCTCTACCCATTCAATGTTATTTGTGCCACACATGCCCAAGGTGTACAAGTCCACCCCCAGGCTTAACATTTGGCAAGGTGTTCTTGTCATCAAATACTCCAAACATACTTTGAGCAGTGATTGTGACCCAAGAGTTCCATATTTCCTTCATCAGTCAACGGCACATTTCCTAAATGCCTCTGGCTTATTTAGATGTTTTTTCATACTTCAGACTTAGATTTCCTTCTGATGTCAAACACATTCATGCAAGCCATGCTGCACAGTAGAACAGTGCACCACCACTCGTGACAACTAAAACTTCCTGCAGGTCCTTTGCTGCCGTAAGGGGGTTTGCTTTGACTTTCTTGCCAGAATAAAAGTTCTGAGAGCTTACTTGGTTTTCCAGCTCTTGCCTTGACTTCAGCAGTTCCCCTTAACTGACATTTCTTACTGACATTTCAGGCAGTGGAAACTGTGAACCTGAAGTGCTTTGTTTTCACAGCCTTCCCCTACTTTGTAGGCATGAGTTAGCTTCAATTTCAGATCCTTGGTGAGCTGCTTAGTGACACCCATGGTAGTGGGGTGTTAGTGCAAAGTTTAGTGCAGAGGAGTCTGGGAATTTATTATGCTCTGGAACTGCTTTCAGCTTTCAAAATAACATCCAGAGGACTCTTCTTGACCTGCCTAACCAAATCCTCAGATGTCAATTAAAGCCTAACAATTAAGTTGTAAGACTTAAGACAGGGTACAAGACTGAAAGGATGTCTACGCTCAATTACAATTTTTAATTTGTTCTATTAGTCACTGTACATTAACAATGCAGGAAAACTGTTTAAATTACTGCAGGTCATGTTCACCTTTCACAAATCAGCAAAATATGTAATTCAACTGGGATGCCCAAACTTTTGCAAGTAAGGCCAACACATCGAGGATTAGCAGAGTGCTCACACATCTGCCTGCAAAACAAACATTTAATCTGACAGGTTTTCATAACAAAAGGTTTTATTGGCTTATCTAATCATATATAAAGTCATCTGACATGTACAGCCCTGTAGAGTCACAAAGACTGAAGATGAGGACGCATCTGCTACAAAAAATTTGGTGCAATTGTGATCAGAAAAAAGCCATACATAAAAAAAGAAAAACTTCATATCATGCATTTCAGACAACAAAATCAAAATAGAAAAAAAACACACATTTTTAGTGTTTTGTACATTATTGTAAACAAAGTCTTTCTAAAGATCATATCAAAACACCTTATGGCAAGTAACAAAAACAAGGGGGGAAAATACAGGAAACAAATTCATGAAATCCTAAGGGGAGGGAGAAATCTAGAATGAAACACTGCTTGGCATGGATGCTGAACAAGAGGGGGAAACCAAAACAAACAAAAATTTAAACAGACCAACATGAAATTTAATTGTAAACACAGGTGGCAATATATGATTATACAATATGGTTGACATACTACATTTCCACTACGTAGGCTACATGAAACATGTCCCTGGTTTTCTCATTTGTACAGTGATATGAGGTATATTTAGGTCAATTCTATTCTTTTTGCCACTTTTTTTTTTCCATTTTACGCTTTTTTTTTCCTTTAAAAGCATGGGGCGTTTGGAGTGCAGTGTTTAGGCTTTGACCCCCCAACACTGGTGTGTGACACTAGTCCCACGAAAGGTCAGGGAGAAGGAACCGAGGCCACGGCTGGGTCCGATTCGAGCTGGATGGGAGCAGTGGAAGTGGAATAGAGGAAGACACAGCGGCCCACTGCTCCGTTCAAGGGCACCTCAAGAATTGCATTTATGGAGAAAGACACCATTTAACCTCGTCTCGGACATGAAAGTCTCTCCTTGCTCGGCATTGTTCCTGAATTCGCACTCAAAAAATAAACATGTTCAAGATTTGCATCTTTTCAAAAGGTCTCCAAGCAGGAACTTGAAAGGGAAGTCTAGTTTTGTCCATCAGGCATCAGATTCGTAATTTTGCTGAGAGGTAGAACTCCAATTGCAGCTATTCACTCAAATCAAACATATTTAATACTTAAATACACTTTCAATACGAAGAGGCCCTGAGTTTACACCCAAGGTTCCACAGCACAAAAAAATTGGTATGGCATCTGTTTCAATAGCATTACTAACCCAAATTAACCATGCTAATAACCCTCCCCACCCACCTATCCGTAAAAAATTCAAATGCCCCAACAACAAACACCATTCTCCACTTAATAAAATCACAGCTTTTTCACCAAAAAAGCATGTCTGTATTTGTAATCCAACAGTTTGTCTTCAATGGTTAAAAGTGCTAATTTTATTCCTTGAGAAATAAAATAAAAAAAATGGATGACTGGATGAAGTTCAACAAAGGGGGTATGAATCAGTGTTCAACACACCCTGAGGCCATATCTCAGTAGCTGCAAAGATGCTACTTATAAATATTTACATGCATGCACGTAGGTTTCCATGAGAATTCATATGTGAATGCGTATGTGTGTCCATGTATGTTTGCAAACGTATCTGCGTCTTACATCCGGCCCTTAGTGACTGAAGTATGCGAGTGTTTTCACATTGACATCAAAAGTACCATAATCTCTGCATATGTACAAGTAGTGGAAAGAGTCACCAGTGTGATCAGATGAACAGGTAGACTTAAAATGGGGTAGTCTTTCTCTCCTCAAGGAATTTCAGAAACAAAGATTCACTGTAGTATTAATGTATGCTTGTAAAAAAAATAATAATAAAAAAAAAAAGACAGTGCGCTACTTGCACCTAATTATTTTTAAAAATCCTTTTTCCTGAGTAATACTTTCAATTATTGTAACAGACAATAGGCCGACATTTTTGCCACTGAATACTGGGCCACACCCTGACAATTGTTATTACTATAAATCATCAATTATTTTACAATTCTATCTTGATTGCTAAAACACAGGGCTCATGAAAAGTCAAGCCAGTCATTACCTACCATCTATTTTTGTTGAAAATTACATTGAAACCTACTCACAGAAATCCTCTACGCTAATAAAAACGAATGACTAAAATACATATTTAAAAAGAGAATATCAAAAAATTGCATTTGAAGTCTTGAAGACCTTCCCTGGTAGAGTCTTGTATTAACATTTAACTGGCAGTGTAATAATTAATATTTTATCTGGTTTAAAAAAAAAAATAAAATAAAATAATAGGGAATTAATGGGACACTGGGGAGAGTTCTCGTCCCAAACTACGGGCTTGAGCTGGCTACCAAAACCTTTACCTGTAGCTTTGGCTTGTGGGGGTTTTGGTTCCTGAGCTAGCCGGCTCGCTAACGTCAGCTAACAGACTAGTATACCCTGAGAATTCCGACACGGGAGTCCGTGATATTCGGTGGTCGACCTCTCCTACCCCAACCTGGGTGTCAGCACTGTAGCCCAGCGGGGTCCTGCGACCAGACTTGAACTGGGAGCCGAAGGCCTGGGCGAAGTTCTCGATCTGGTATGTGGAGCGCATTTCCACTTCCTTGGAGGGCTCCAGGGCTGCCAGGTTAGGAGCCGACGCCAGGGGGTAGACGGAACCGGTGGAAGAGTTGCTGCCAGTGCCATTTGTGCCACTGCTGCCATTGGACGTGGCACTACTATTCTTTACCTGCTCTTTTTGCCTGCTACCATTGGTGAGTTCCTGGGTGGCGAGTGGGTAGGGAGGCGTGTGTGGTTTGTCCAGCTGCTCAGTGAGCTCTTGAGACGGGGTGAGCTGCTGGTGGGCAGGGGGCTCCAGGCTGCCCAGATGAAAGCCCTGCTGGGAGGAGGGTGAGGCGTGGGAGGGTGAGGGGGAGCCCACCAGCATGCTGAAGTGGGACTTTGGTAGAGCCGAGGAGGAGGAAGGAGCGAGAGGAGAGGTGACGGTCTGCCCAAAAGTACACTCCAGTGGGGAAGAAGTGTAGACGTGTTTGTCGGGGAAGAGGTTGCTGGCTGGGCTGCTGCTGGACGACAGCAGAGTGGGGAAGGGACCGGTGGGACCAAGAGCAAAGCTGCCACCGTGGCTGGTTCTCTCCAGCGTCTGCAGCAGGAACTTGGAGTACTCGTTCATGACCCCGCTCTTGTCCCCGGAACCGTTTGAGGCATTTTCGTCCGCTCCCAGCTCGGGGGTGGTGGAGGCAGGGTGCAGCTCCACATGATGCTGGTCTGAAAGGTCAAAGGTCACATCGTGGTGGGAACCGTCAGATTTGTGGGAGTAGTGGTCCAGCAAGCTCTGCAGTACCTCATCTGGGATGCCAGACTTGTCATGCTTGCTATCAACACTGACTAGAGGGGAGGTGTCCAACAAGGCCAATGTGGGCTCTCCTAAACCACCCTGGATGACAGTCTGCTGAGGCGCTAGGTGGGCAGATCCATAGTCATGACCACCACCACCGCTGTTGGCAGCATGCAAGTACCTTCTCTTCTTCAGGAATTGCATGGCATCATCATAGTTGCTGCTGGTCCCGCCCTGCTTTGACCCTGAGGAACTCTGAAGAAGTCCCAGACTGTCCATACTTTCTGCACCAGGCAGGTCCATGGACTTGGGAGCCAGCAGCTTCTGCTCATGGAGACCTGCGCTGGAGCTAGCTTCATCCATGGACAACAGACTCTTGTCTCCACCCTTGCGTCCACCTTTTTTAAAGACAAGCTTGGGAGTGCGAACGTGCTGGTTCTGCATGCTGGTATTGGCCAGGTCCCCGACACCTGAAGAGGACGTGCCAGAGCCAGTTGGGATGTCAACAGCATAGTCCTGGAGGCCAAGCATCTGTCCAACCCCAGCTCCTGCCGCCTTTTTCCTACGCCGTTCTCCCCCCTCCCCGCTGCCCTTGGATTTACCCCTCTTACGTGGTGGTGCACTGGCATTTCCCTGAGTGTGTAAGTAGCTGCCGTGGCCCAGGTCCTCCTCTCCAAGGTCCAGCATCCCCGGGTCCAGACCCTTCTTTATGGCTTCTCCACAGGTTCTCTTGTGCTTCAATAAACGATCCGTACGAGAGAAATACTGCAGGTAGGGGAGAGAAGCAGAATCAGTTTGAGAAATGACACGATAAAGATCAGTACATAATGTTTCCTGCATAAAGGCTGGAAATAATTATGTAAAAATTAGGACTGGCCAGAATAATTTTTATACTTGTGTATTTGTTTTGTACGTTAGTATTCATTTATCTATTTACTATTCTGATGTTTTTCCACAAAAATTGTAGCCTAAACTGCATTACATTTCATCAACAAAAGACCTTTAAATAGGACTGAACAGTTATTATATTTAAAGAACAAAAATAAACTACTAAAAAACTTTAATGCTCAGTATAAAATAAACAATACAAGGCTGGAAAAAAATGTTTTCTGAGGTGGCACAAATTAGGTAATTCTCACCTGTTGGCAGGTATCACATTTATATGGCTTTTCTCCACTGTGTGTCCTCTTGTGACGCTCCATGTGGTACTTCTGAATGAAGCGCATGTTACACTGGTCACAGCTGAATGGCTTTTCCCCTGTTAAAAAGACCAAAGGCATATATAATTTAGTACATCTCTTTGGAGTCAGCAAACATTAATATCCCTTCCAAAATATTAGCCAAATCACTCACAGCACATTTCTTAATTAATCTTAATTTTGTTTCTTCAAAAGACACTTAAGACAAAACAAAAGCACAGATCCTTAATAAATGTGCCAATGTGGGACTCACCACTGTGAATTTTCTCATGTCTCTGCAGCAAATACTTCTGGATGAAGCTCATGTTACACTGGCTGCACCTGAAAGGCCTCTCACCTGTGCAATCAGAAATGCAAACGGTCCACCTTCCACATTAATGAAATACACCATTAAACATCCCAGTAAAAATAGTCTTTGCAAGTAGAACTTGTGCCTAGAGCTGGCAGTGAAAAGCTCTCACCTGTGTGGATAAGTACATGTCTCCGCAGGTGGTATGAGCTACGGAAGGCAGCGTTGCAGTGTTCACATATATGCGGTTTAGAGCTAGGAGAGAGGGGCCCTCCATCTCCATCTAGCATCAGTGACTATGCAAAAGAGGGAACAAAAGGAAAGTGGTCAATTATTGCCATTGCTGTTAAGCTATATTTTTATATTTCCTATTTTGTTAACAACTGTGGAAACTTAGAGGACCTCTAAGTGGGAAAAACTAGGGCTGAATGATTTGGGACAAATATCTAATTGTGATTTTTTCCTTACCAATATAGTGATTGCTATTTAACTTCTGATTTTTTTTTTCTTTCTATGAAATGAGGCCTGCTTTTTTAACCAAGAAGACCAGCATATGCACTTTTTTGGGGGTTTGAACGATGATCATAGTGTGCCAGACTGCCAGTTGAGGTTGTGTTATCCACAGCACAAGAGTGTTTGATTGCTTCTGATTGGTCTAACTCATCAAACCATGTTTCACAGGCTCTGTGATATACGGTTACATTTATCCACTTAAAACTTGAACGGCAGCTATTGCAGTTTGAAAACTGCAGTCTTTCAAACTGCAATTTTAATATAAAAAACAATTTCGTCGTCTTTCAGCCCGAGGACAGAAAGTGAAAAAACGAATGAGAATAACATGAGCACCTTTGTAGAATCCCCCCGCTTTCTTCTGCCTTTGCCCTCTGGTCCATCTCCATTTGTCCTCCTTCCTCTTCTATGCGTAGAGTCTTTTGGGTCTTTTCCTAATCTTCCAGGGTACTGCTGTCAAAGCAAAGTTGGGCAAATTTAAGCTTCACTGGGTATGAAAAGACTAAATGAACTGGAACACGAAGAACATTGACAAGGGTTCACAAATTCCTCAACACCTGTACCAGGACACTAGACAGAGCAATGGACAAATTTCCCATGCTCTACACTGCATTCAGATAAACTTTAGAAGACACACACACACAGAGTCATCACATGCTTGCAAAAGTACAATGGCAATCCCATCGACTGCCCTTCAAAGCTTACATTGCTAAGGCTGATGTCATGTAGAAGCATGCTCTGGTGGTTGCCAGTTGAAATGTCCAGCATATCTGTACTCTTTCCCCCTGCTCCTACTCCTAGGCCTGTTCCATACAGTGGGAGGCGGTAGTCCAGTTCATTCACTTTCTCCTGCTTTATACCCATGCTGTGGAGAAAGCCACCGCCATGCTCTGGCGAATCCCTCTCCTTCTTCAGGATCATCTCCTGTGGCAGATCTGTCACCATTGGCTGAGAAGTGAGCCGTGTAAAGCTGGTAACTGGAGGTAAATGGCTGAACATGATCATGCTGGTGGGGAAGTTGGGATCCATGCCGCCGTTACGCAGAAACTCATTGCCTAGCTTGTCCTGGATAATACTCATGGTTGGTTTCTCAAGAGGGCAACGTTCATTCAGCACTGAAGATGGTATACACTGTCAAAACATAAATAATCAAGTTAGGTGCTTCTGCATTTATAAAAACAATTGTACCCAATACAATGAATATCATTACTTCTGTACAACATATTTACTTCCAATTTGATACTATTACTGGTTGGCTAACTTCCAAACAAGCCTGAGAAAATCACATAAATCTTAATTAAATTGTGACTGTTTCTACTTTAACTTGATGAGATATCAACATTTTAACTGCTGGTTCAGATTAATTAGGTTTTACAGAACAGTACTACTATGTTTTCTGATCCTAGAGAAGTCACGGCATGTCTTGGGAACTTGAAAACAGCATTAGGTCTTTACACCAGTAGAAGGGGGATTAAAAAAATCTAATTGTACAATTTCAGTGGTATGAGGCATATCTACTTCACTTTTTACTGAGACATTTGCCAGTGGAAAAAGGTGGCACTTGGATAATCAGATTATAAAAGATCACTAAAATCAAGGCCACAGATGATGGTGTGTGATGGGGTATGAAAAGACTAAATGAACTGGGACATGAACATTGACAAGGCCATAGATGATGGTGTTTAACATTTCTCACTACAGGTCAGTGAAGGTTAAAGCCTACTTAAGATAGTCATCATCATGCTATCCTTATTAGAAATGTCACCAAATAAGGGTTAAAGCCATATTCATATTCAAACTCATACAAAAGGCCTTGAATAGAAAGTACCTTCGCAGTAAAGATGTCCCAGTGTTCTTTTCACGCTGTCTTTGGAAATACGATGGAACTGGTTAGCAGCTGGCATTTAATCTCAAAATGTAATTTAACTTCATGATCTTTTTCTTTTTCAAATCAAATAAAATGGCCTGTTTATCGTCGTCTGTCGATTAACTGATTTCTCCGACACTGCATCTATTGTGGTGTAGATAACGTTAGCTAAGAAAACCGAGCAGCTAATCTGTTTCGCTCTGTTGAACAGCTAGCTCTCCATGTTAGCATTCCCATCTGATTGAGCTTAGCAAGCTTAATGTTCTTTCCATAAATAATAAAGTGCGCATAGCGTAGTCGATGCCGAACTAGTTAACCGAGCAAAAATGAAAATTCGCCTGCATCTGCGCTCTTAATGGGGTCAGAGGACAACTACAATTAGAGAGATCTGGCAAAAATGCGTGATAAAGCCTTTCAAAACAGCAAGCTAACGTTACTTGGTTAGTGAACAAATAAATCACCATCTGAATAACTAGCCAGCCAGCTTTAGCTGGCTTTGTGTTAGCTGCAGTTAGCGGTTTACCATAACAACAGCCAACGACCCAAATGTTACCCGAGATTAGCTCCGCTCAAATGTAATAATTTAAGGTAGCTAGATTGACCAAAAAAAAAGAAAAAAGCAAGCAAGTTGAGTGTTTCCCCGGGCCTTGCTAACGTTAGCTAATGCTCCAGAGGAGCTCAATCAAACATGGAGGCATCCATCTCACCAGCGTTAGCCAAACAACATTGTCCTGACGTTCAGACAGCATTAGCATGCATCACATTAAAAAGCCTGCTCGGCTAACTGGCTGTGTATGTGAACTGATACTAACTACCGACAAAGCTAACCAAGTAGCATGCTAGCTAGTTTGAATCTCAACGATGAGGCTGCGGCTGCGTCCCAAGCCGCATACTACAACACTAAATAGCGTGTAAAAATAGTGCACCACAGTTGATAGCGCATTCATTAGAGTAACATGTAAAGTATAGATGTGCGGGGTTGGGGACACAGCCGTAGACTAGCGTTAGCTAGCATGCTAGCAACAACTAGCTAATTATAGCCTGTTATGCCAAATGGCTGAATAATAACAGCTACAATCCCAATTTACAGCTTGCTTGCTGGAGGATTTGGTAGCTGGCTTTGTAACAAACGTTAGCTAGCTAGTCACCTAACTGAATTATTAAACAGTGTGTGAGTAACATTGAGTTAACTTAGCCAAATGAAAACCAGTTCTGAGCTCAGTCCAGATTTTAAAATATGACCGAAGCTAAAAGAAAAACCATTTGGCTGCAGGCCACTTTCAGAACGGTACGAACTGTATTATTTATTTGAAAAAGGACTGAACCAGTCAACAAATTTCCAGTAGGATATTTTTCGGGGTTGACTGAGCTAACTAATCAGTCAGCATCATTCAGCCCCGTGCGTGTGTGTGTTAAATGGAAACAATGCTGCCCGCAGCATCTCTCGCTCCAGCAGCGCCGAGCGGCTCTGAGCTCCATTATTACGCGTTTTTAAATATTTCCACGGTTCGATCGCGGCCAGACTAATAAACCAATGCAGTAGCGCGTACCTGTGCATGTCCACGGCCGATTCTGTCCGTCTCAGTGAAGCCCAACACTCGCTCCTTTCAGCGCTTTACTGCCAAAACATTGTTCTCTCGCAGCTGTTGTTGCCCTCTTCCATCTTGTCTCGACGCGGGGAATTATGGGTCCACCGGACGGGTCGTGAGAAGAGTCACAGACGAGCCGTGGTCAGGACAGGACAGCGGGGCGTCAGGGACACTCTGTGTCCCAGTATTGATTTGTTTCGGCCTACAAAAGAGTTGATTTTTAATTATTCCTTGCATTTGTTTTTTTTCTTTCTTTCCTTTCGAGTCATATAATGTATATAATAGCCGACTATACGCTGACTGTGCAGCTCATTGTTAGTTGGCCTGGAGGCCACACACACACAGATGGACCCATTTGATCCCACAGACGTCATTTATTATTGTTTTCTACAAGCTAAATTAGATATTTAGTGTTTTTTTATATTGTGACTGTGTATTATTATGCAAAGATAATGTTCTAATTAAGTCACAAAAAATGTAATCTAAATGGTTGGTGTGAAAGCACTGTAACTTTTTAAACAACAAATAAGTATATTAATATTGCATCGATGGTTTCAGCATCAATAAACCAGACGACACTTAAAGGGTAATTTTCAAAATTTCTGTTTAATTAAATCATTTAGGCGTAAATAAAGTCATTCAGAGTGGTCTGATGTGAAATGCTCCATTCTACAAAAACATGCCTTGTATTAATTGTTCACAGTGGTGGTTATAGGAACCAGACGTCTGAAGCGTTTCCTGCTGCTAAAATCTACATCGCAGAAAGCTACTACATGAAATGTCTATGAATACACTCCTTGATCACTGATACATTGATTTACGATAGTTTTTTTTACAGTCATGGTGGAGAGATGCATGCAGGGAGTTGTAAGGTAAAATAGTTCCCAAAAGACTTTTTTTTTTTGATTTTCTATTATCAAGATTACATTAACTTTAAAAAAAGATGGTTCTTCAGGGGTTCTTTAGTAAAGGCAATGGTCCACTGAGCCATGAGTTCTATGTGGGAATATTTGATGCTTAAATTGTTCTTTGTGTGGTGAAATGGTTCTTCATATTGATGGATAGCGAATGTGTTGTATGTGGTTCTATAACCAAATAGTCAAGCTAATGTCAGGTTTGTAACAATTAAAGAACCATTTCTGGTGCCATATAGAACCATTTTAAAAAAGTTTCTATGTAGAACCATATACAACATATTCTCCATCAATCTGAAGAACTATTTCACCATGCAAAGAACAATTTAGTCATGAAGTAGTTCTACAAGGTTCTGCAAACTCATGATTCTAAACAGAACTATTGCCTTTATTAAAGAACCCCTGAGGAACCACCTATTTTAAGACTGTGGAGACAAGGAAGTTCTGTTTTGTTCCTACTGATCGCCAGAGACGAAGCATACTAGGTAGTACTCAGTTAAAGGGGCATTCCCGTTTAAAATTAGCATTTATTATATTATTTGTCATATTATAGTATTCCATAGTGCAGCATTGCATCCTTCAGTCTCACTGGATTGACACAACATACTTTTTGTGTTTCCTTCCATCATTGTTTTCTGACTCCAATACCCAACAGCCCCGTGCTCAGGGCCACCATGACCATGAATTACATGCATACATACATACATACATACATCATCTAAACCACTTTTCCTTCTGGGTCGCGGTGGGATGCTGGAGCCTATCCCAGCTGTCATTGGGCGGAAGGCAGGATACACCCTGGACAGGTCGCCAGTCCATCGCAGGGGACCATGAATTAAATTAAATTTAATTTAAAGTATATTGCAGGCACTCTTATCAAATGAGGCGCTGTAATGATGTTTCAGATAAAACCAAACAAGGTGTAAAGACTTTTACCAAAGGCAGCCAGAAGCACTAACATTACTATCCATGTGGGGATTTGAACCCCAGTAATCATTTTGCAAAGCTGAAAAGTTACTCGCTACATTATTTAATCACCATCTAGTATTTAGTTCTAACTCTGTTTAAGAGCTCCACAGAGTCTCATATAAATCCCTGTTATAATAAAACAATGAACATTTGGTGTAGGTAGATATTAACACCCCTTATTGCCAGCAATATATGTGGTTGGTGTTCAAAATAACTGCATTATGGAATGTGATGCTTTCTTAAAGAGATTATTAGTGTTTTATTGGTGGGATTTCCAACAGTGCTGTGATGCATGATGCGTTAGAGTTACCAGAGAAATCTCCACAGGCAGTGAGTACTACACCAGAGGGTGCCCTTAAGAACAATGAATATTGTAGAATCCAAGCGGACCCATGAGCTCCATTCTTGCAGATCTTGAAATGGATCTTGAGGAACGGTGGAGGCAATATCAAACACAATTATTATAGACGCCAACCAAGAGGGCATTTGTAACATCTGCGGGCAATAGGGCCAGGGCTCTTCATCATGTCTAGCTGAGTTGAAAGTCAATCTCCAGTGAAAGCCACTTGAAGCCTGTTTGTCAGTGGCTTAAGGGGGGGAATTGTACAAAAAAAGTTGAGTCTCGTTGCAGACTTCTAGGAGTGACGGTGGAAGTACTGAAACCTGTACTTGTGATAAGCAGATATAGCAGTCTCGGAAGCTTAAAGCATGGATGGAGAGCAGCTTTGTTCAGGAGGGTCTGTAGGAAATGTAACATCAGGAGCCTGAACACTGCCTGGTCGCACTGAACATCCACACACAAGTCAGAAATCACTTTCCATCATACATGGACTGTGCTGACAAGCCTCTGACATGCTGGATAGTCTCTTGGGCCATCAGTTGTGACTTTCGCTCAGTGATCACAGCCATAATTTAGACATGTTTTGCAATAAGCTAAAGAAGCTAAAAACTTGCAACAGACGCGAGCAACATATCCAAGTAGCTTAAAGTCAACCTGAAATTAAAATGACCTTTTTTTACTTTGTTAATTCATGCCACTGGACATATTGAACATGGTCCATCATGTTATATAATTTGCAAGTTCATCTTTTCCCATGAACATTGTTCGTAATGTAATGACTTTTGCTCGACATAAAAAAGTTCAGATCACATCAGCGTGCACAAGCAGGCAGGAAGGTTTAACCTTGCTTTCCCATCATCCATTATGAAGCAAAAATGCTAAGCTAGCTCATAGACCTTCTTTAATATTCGGAGTCACTCAGAAGTATACTATATTATGGAAGGAAAATATGTAGGATGCACCAACTGTGATTTTTATGGCTGATTCTGACTTCTTTACAGCCAAATCAGCCAATGGCCAATGTTTTGGATGTCTTTTTTAACCTGACGCTAAGACTGTTTGGGCTAAACGAACACTTCCAGTGTTTTTATTTTAGTTATATCTATATTTATGCCGAACTGACAGTGTACATTTTTCAATTTTAAATTAGTCGCCTATTTACATTACCCCAATTAAATAAAGTGCTACATCGAAAGTAGGAATGTGCAGCAACATCATTCACATACAGCACTTAACTGGCTCACATTATTTACATCATAAAACTGCTACATAGATCTGCCAAAATAAAAAGAATAAACTGGCCAAATATCGATTTCATGTTCAATCTGACAATCTTAGTCATTTCCGATCCCAAGAAATGTTATGATTTCCGATTCACATTGACTTTGAGAGGCATCAAGGAGTTCTGGGCAGTGCAGGATAGTGTAATGCATCTGATCTGAGGAAACCCTCAGAGGATCCATGCAGATTCCCCAGGGGACACGTTTTCTAGGCCATGAGCACTCTGAGTGGTCACTAACCCTTTTGCCGTTGGAGCTTTAAAACAAGCATAAAAAGGAGGACTCAGAGGCACCACAGAGCTCCTCCACAAAATCCTACTGGGCTGAAAACCTAGAGGCTGCAAGAAGAAAGTGGAGAAAAACACAAGATCAGTGGTTAGAGAGGGAGGTGTAGCCTGGCCTAAACATGACAAGACCAGTTATGCAGTGCCCAGTAAGGGAGTTGCACCACTGGATGTAGCAGAGGGTGAATCTCACAGGTGCCCTCCATGTAAGCATGGTATGTGGAATCTATATCAATCTAGACATCCTGATTATCACAAGAGTTTCTCTGTCAGAACCACCCTGGGACATCACAGACAGTTTTAAAATGGCAGCTACCTGCTGTATCTGTTTATGAACTGGCCCAGACACTGATCGGCAATGACTAATGACCAATCCAAAAAAAACAAGGATTATCCTAATGGCTGTTTTGACTGGAAATGAAATAAGTAAAACGTGGTCTCTAACTTTTGCACAGTACTGTAAAATCAACAAAGTCTCATAAGATCTCCCAGATGTATGAATGTCATCTCTTTTGCTGGCTCCTCCTTTTACTAAGTGGACTATTACACAGTAGATTATTACTGGCCTAAATTCAATTGAGACCCATTTCATGGTTTGGTCTAATCATTATCCTTCAGGCCTGGTATCATTTTAATGTTTAATATAGCGTGAATAGTATGCAGCAGCCAATCTCAAGCCTTTTGTTTGAGGATCCATTCTGTAGTATGCTATATGCTGACGCTAACAAAAGGGAAAATGAGTGTGCTCTGTGAATGGGTGATCCATATTTCTATCACATAAAATGTCAGGTTTTCACTTATCTTCTTAGTGTAATATATTTGGAATTTGTCAGAGTAAGAATGTTTATCTAAGATCAGGTTTCATCAGCTTGCCATGTAAAAGGCATAAACCAATTCTACACCAGCATTCTGTAACACTTTATTTATATGGCCTTAACCTAATACTACCCCTAAATTTGGTGTTAATTATAGGTGTTAATGTGGTGTGTAATTCTAACCCTATCACAGTTTAGAATCAACTTTTCAGTTTCACCAGGTGATTTATTTCCAATTCGGACCCACCTGACATCACTAACAACTGTGTAGTTACGCATGAACAATACAAGCAACAACAATGTAACTACTGGTGATGTGTTCACTGTTACAGATGGATTACACTAGTACAGCTTATGTGTGTTAACTGAAGTTTTCACTCATGCAATTACACAAGTGTATCTTCACAGTTGCAACAATACACTCTAAAACCTACTGGGTTGTTTTTTTTTCTATACAAACAATGGGTTGAGCCTGTTGGGTCATTTTGTTGGGTTATTTCCATAGTGCTGGGTTGTTATTCATGTTATTTGTTTAATCTACTTGGATTTGTTTTTTGTTCAGCGCTAGGCTGGCAATAAAATTAAAAAAAAAAATTGATTTGCATCAGCTGTGGTCCTGGAGACCTACCATCCTCAGAGTTTAGCTCGACATGTGGTCCAGGTTTTTAAAGGCTTTTCAGGGCATTTGACTATTAGAGTCAGGTGTGTTGGATCTGAACTCTCATGGGTGGTAGATCTCCAGGACCAGGACTGGGCAGCCCTCATCTAAAGTGCTGACATTTTTATAGTTAAACCTTGGATGAACCTCTGAATTTTTCAACTGCATGCCATTTTCATACTTTTATTTGTAATCGAATTAGGATTTTCTATTGTTTTGTGAAAAAGCAGTAGTCTTGTGACCAACTGACTGAAATTTATCACAAATTAAGTATTTAAAAATTTTGTTATATGTAATATGATTGGATTAATTTGAGGAAATGTCTTAAGATTTCTACTCAGGTGAGCTCAGAGGACATACTGACCAAATTACACATGGGTTCATTTGGGAAGTGTCATAAAACTGGGTCATTTTTAATACTATATTCACATAGCCTTACACTCTTAGAAAAGACAATGGTTCTATATAGAACTATGAACACTCAAAGAACCATTTGCATGTTTAAATACTTTGCATTGTGTGTGTTGTGTATAGTTCTATATGGCACCAAAAAGGGTTCTGCTAAAAACGTGTGTGTGTGTATATATATATACGTGGGTAATTCTACAGAAACGTTCACTTTTCTATCTATCCATAGGTGTCACTGGTGTTACTAATCCTCATTGGTGTTACACATTAGAAAGGTAACAATAGTGACAGTAACATCAGTGACATTTTTAATGAAGAATGCATTTTACAAAATCACTGCTACAGAGCATCAAAGCACATGTTGTCAGTCATGGAATATCCACTAAAATATGTGATTTAATCCATTTGTATTCTATTTTTTTTCACAATTACCTAAGAATAAAGTAGGTCACACCAGTGACTTCTACTAAAAGCTTCATATGAAATCATGAGCTAAATGAGAAAATTTCTGAAAACTTAAAAGACACAGTGGACTTACCATGTGCTTTTCTTCATAGATCCTCAGAAAATAGTAAAAGGAAGTCAAGTTATGTCATCAGTGTAATTTTTATTTCAAAATAAGAGATTTTTTCTTATGCGGTAACACCAGTGACCCAACTCCTGAGGACAACAACTTTCATTATATATTTTATAATATTTATTTGGCATTTGTTTTCTTTATGTCATTTAATTCGCATATATCATAGTCATGTATAGATTATTGCAGTTAAAATTGCAGAAAAAAATGTTTTTTACCTCAAAATATGACATTCACCCTTTACACATGACTGTAGGGACGAGCACTTCTGTGGTGCTTGGAATTCTAGATAATTGATTTAAAAACCAATTTTTTATTTTAAACTATAAATAAATTGTAACCCTAAAATATTTTTCAAGTGTAATATATCTAGGGACACAAAAATGGACGTTTCTATAGAATGACCCATGTATATATATATATATATATATATATATATATATATATATATATATATGTGTGTGTGTGTGTGTATATATATATATATATATATATATACACACACACACACACACACACACACACACACACGCATGTATATATACATAGAGAGAGAGAGGGACCATTGTCCATTGTCATGCACCATTCGAACAGCAGATGGCGACACCAGATCTTGCGTTCTCGGCCCTGTGCAGTCTCCACTATAAATCCCATTTGCTCCAAAGAAACGCGATTGGTTTGGACGCACATGCACACTCGCCCAGCCTCCCTCTCTTCAGCGTAGGCATCACAAGCACAAGTGCCGCAGTTTGTCTGTGCTTTGTAGTAGGTCAGTCATTACTACTGCACGCTCAAAGCCCTCAGGTGCCAAGCAGGACAGCAGAGTGACAGCAGAGTTTAAATGGGCAGAAGCCGGAAAGCAAGAAGAGGCGCTCATTCCTGCAAAAAAATCATTTCGTGCTGCTGCTGTTCTCAGAGTTGTATTAACTTCTGAGAGTCCTGAAGGGCTTCGATCCTTCGAGGATGGCGGTTTGAAGTTATGGACAGCTCTCCTGGTGCATTTCCCCGTCTATGGACTGCTGCTGAAAGATCCTTATAGGAAAACTGTGGACCGCTCGCGATGGTGTCCGGCTGAGGCGCGTGACCCCGTGCCCATGCCGTGCGTAAAGGAGGTGTCCCACGATAAACTTCAGCGAGACTTGTGCGCGCGCTCTCCCAGCATCCCAGCTTGACCATGTCAGTGATCAGGAGGAAATTCGGCGACGATTATCAGGTGGTCAACACCGGACAGGGGTCTTCTTTCCCGGCGCCAGCCAAAAGGAAGCGGCAGCGCTTCGTGGAGAAGAACGGACGCTGCAACGTCCAGCACGGCAACCTGGGCGGAGAGACCAGCCGCTACCTGTCGGACCTCTTCACCACGCTGGTGGACCTGAAGTGGCGCTGGAACCTGCTGATCTTCCTGCTCACCTACACGGTGGCGTGGCTCATCATGGCCTCCATGTGGTGGGTGATCGCCTACATCCGAGGGGACCTCGGCCGCGGCCACGACGACTCGTACACCCCCTGCGTGGCCAACGTCTACAACTTCCCCTCCGCCTTCCTCTTCTTCATCGAGACCGAGGCCACCATCGGCTACGGCTACCGCTACATCACCGAGAAGTGCCCCGAGGGCATCATCCTCTTCCTCTTCCAGTCGCTGCTGGGCTCCATCGTGGACGCCTTCCTGATCGGCTGCATGTTCATCAAGATGTCGCAGCCCAAGAAGCGCGCGGAGACGCTCATGTTCAGCCAGGACGCCGTCATCTCGCAGCGGGACGGCAAGCTGTGCCTCATGTTCCGCGTGGGCAACCTGAGGAACAGCCACATGGTGTCGGCGCAGATCAGGTGCAAACTCATCAAGGTAGGCAGCGGTCACCTGCAGTGGGCTTCATCTCCTTTCTGGGGTCGTGCTCGAGCGCAACGACACCGAAAGGCCACGCGCGTTTGGGCTCAAGCTGAACAAAATAAGATCCAAGTTTAGAAATGTACTCAGAAGCTGACCCCAGGGCCGTCACTTGAGATTTATGGATTAGGAATCGGTGGGGGGTAAGCCTTTACTAAGGGGGTTTCTCTGTTGACTATCAACTTTTAGATTAGCAATAGGTGGAAAATGCCAAACAATGGCTATTTGTTCAGGTTGGCGCACAGTTGATCTGTCACTTCATAGTTTTTACTAAGCTATGATCTAGTATGACTTGAAAACTGCATTCATCCCCTTACAACAGGCACAGATTAAGCCAAGGTACAAAAGTCAAGCAGTGCTGTCTCCTCTCTCTTAAAGAAGCTGCAGCTCCTAAATATGTTATTCAAATACACAGATTATAGATCAGTACAGTCTCAGTTTGTGCAACCAGTCAGAGTGTGTAGTCGTGTTTACGTTTCATAGACTAGGTGACACGCTCATAGTGATGTTTGACGGCACAAATTTATATTGTACACACACAGTACATCATGTATTTTGTGAATTTGTAGGCACGAGGGTGCAGTTCAGTAATGAATAATCAATGATAATTACTGCTGATGATTTGAACTAATAATGAATATTCATTGGAGTGGGGCTAAATAATGTTCATAGTCACCTAGAGTGGCCTGTTTATGGTGGGCTTGTGCCACATATGGAATTCTGAACATGTATGCACTTTTGCTGGGAGGTTTCAAAATGCATAATTGGGTCAAGATGTAATCAAAGTTATTCAGAATGAATTGATGTGAAACGTTTCATTCTAGAGAAAGAATTGTTCACAGTGATGGTGAGAGGAACCAGATGTCTCAAGAGTTTAATGCTTCTAAAAGCTCCCTCACAGAAGGTTAGTACATGAAGAGGTCACTGATACTCTGCCTGATGTCTCAGACTTTGGTTTATGATAGTTTTGAGAAGGATTTTGCCTAAAACACATTTCAATAATACGTTTTCACATTCACCACTAATTTACCATCATAAACATCACACATACAAACTCAGAAGACATGTGTAGGTTTACTGGTGGTTTCCAATAGTAAATAAAGTGGCTATATTTGGATTGTAGACATTGTGACCCCTGGTTCCTGTCACCTGTAAAGAAATCCAAGTCAGTAAGTTTCTCAGACCATTCTAAATGACTTTGTTTCTCAATGATTGAATTATGCTGAAGTTTTGCAAAATCAGTGGAATTCCCCTTTAAGATGTAAAGTCAATCAGAGTGGTTTAATGTGAAATGCTCTGTTCTAAAGAAATTTACAGAGTCAGATTTGTTCACAGTGTGGTAGGAACCAGACGTCTGAAGAGTTTAATGCATCTAAAAGCTCCCTCACAGAAACTCAGAAGGGTCAGTTAGTTTCTCTGCAATTTCAGACCACTCTGACTGACTTTGTTTACATCTCATTAATTTTATTAAATTATGTTGAAATGTTTGTCAAATTGGTGGAATTCCCTTTTTAGTCATTTCAAGAGTATTTTTGGGCTTCAGTAAAGCTAAAACAATGACACTTCTCTCTAGAGTGCAGAGTCCAAAAGTGCAGCGGAGAAACATTTCAAACTGGCACTGACCACTACAGTACTGTTATTGTTCTCATTATTATTATTATTATTATTATTATTATTATGGGAATTAAACCTGTCCTCAAAAATAATGAAACAGTGAAGACGTAAATAAAGTCACTCAGAGTGGTTTGATGTGAAAAGTTTGTGCATCCTAGAGAAACTCACAGATGGGTTTAGTTATTATTGGAATTAATCCCATGTGCTCCAGCAAAATAAATCTAAAAAAATGATCTATTTAAACCTATGGCAAACATTGAGATAGTAAAGCTAAATATATACAAAATCATCATTTATAGGGTGTTTCTGTTGGAAGGTGATTGTCTCAAACTCTAACCCTTAAATTTTCCTTGTGAAAATAATACTTACATTTTTGTATATTTTTCAGTGTTGTTTTTTTTTTGTTTGCTTGTTTGTTTTTTAATTCTTCTAAGGTGAAGTTAAAATAGATTTGAAAAAATTTAGATTTGTCAGCCATTTATTTAACTGTATTCAAAAAATACTGTCCCCCATGTTACAACTGAAACGTAAAGAATTTTAGTCCATAGGCGGAGTCTTATTTTACATACCCCTGTATTTCAGAGCAGGAAGTGAGACTGCATCCCTGTCCCTCATGGCCACATAGTGAGCAGTTAGATCTCATTGTTTTGAAGTAACTGTGTCCCAAAGACTGAAAATCAGTGAAGTTTAAGAATTTAACATTTAAGAATTCAAATATTGTGGCTCAAAAAAGCATGTTTTCTGCAATTAAGTAAACTTTTTTGTGCTTTAATGAAAAATTTTATGGTTTCAAGAGTGTGCAACTGTGTTTGCTAGTCATGTACTGGAGTTCTCCTCAAAATGAGCTAAAATTGTCACTACTGAAACAGTCACTACTGTAACATTTGGTAGTGACAAAATGAAATGTTCAGTCATTTATTTTAATAAGATAAACATAATTAAGGCATGAGGTCACTCAAAGCAAAAGGATTTTAGTTAAAAGTCTGAAATGTGTTTTCAACCCAAATTATCTTCCACACTGGAAGAAATATATATAATATACCATAACATTTGCATAAGCCACCTTTTATATGTTATTTTTCCTGATGTGTTAAATACAACACAAAAACAACAATTGTGCATTAAAATGTGCGGAATTGTGTTTTATTAGATGACTTTTATTACTTAAAAAGCCAACAAGCATGTAATTTGACCAGGGGTGTCCGCACTTTGCCATATGACTGTATCTTCCTGCGTGTCATACCTTATAATGTGTATGAGAAAAATTACATTAAAGAAGAAGAAAGGTCAATATACTGGGTCAACATAATGCTAAGCGCTAAACCTAACAGTTACAGTTATAGTGGCCATGGAATAGTCCTTGTCATTCAAATGGACTTCAACTTCAGCTCCAGATTCAGAAGTGAAATTTGGCTGAATTTGAATTTTGAATGATCAATGTAATAAAAAGATAACAATCGTGTTTATCCTGATGCTCTCTTTAGTGACTTCAGTGACATCACTGCTGGACAGAACAGGAAACTGAACAGAACTATGCACTGACCACCTTTATTGATCTTCAATAGAACTCACGGTTGGCTGCAAGGTTAAACGCTACATGATTGCCACTCAATTGGATTATACTAATCAGAGGAAGTTTAGGAACAGTCACCCATTTCCTGAGTGCTTGCGTTTGCCCTTAAGGACAAAAGATAAAGGAGCTACTCAAACGAACACAAATCTCATTCTAGGCATCCATTTCCCCTCAGAAGCGTTGCATTGCAGCCCATACATCTCTGACGTGTAGCAGATTTTGAGTCTGTTCTTGGCTAGCTGTCAGAGAATGCTGGAGGGCTGCGGTTTAAAAGCCAAGGCAGTGGATCATTACACCTTTGAAATGTACCCTAGAGAAAGAGGCTGAGTGACAGGGAGAAAAAGACGTAATATTGCATCAAGCTCTCTGCCCAAGGTCACCCAGACGGAAGAAGTCTTTTCGTTTATTAAAACGCACACAGATTCGCAGACTCATCGGGCGACATGGCATTTAATATTCACCAGCAGCTAGAACAAATGCATGTGCTGTTTACACTCAGTTCTAATAATTGCCTGTTTTATTTATCACCGCCTCTGGCCTTTCTTTTCTGCTATGCTCTCCGATTAATTTTCTATGAGATGGAGCTGCTGAACATTTCTCAGAATTATCTGATCCCAAACCCTCCCTAAGATCCGTCTTTCTTTCTCGTTTTTTTTTTACAATTTTTATCAGAGGAACGCAGCACCAGTTTGGGCTGGAATATTCTCTGTGATATACTTTAGTGGCTTCCTAATCGTCTTTTCGGCAGAGAGAGTGAGGAGAAGTTAGAGCCAGGGAGAGGGGAAAGAGAGGCGAGACAGGATTAGAGGAACAGAAGAGGAAAGTATGAGGGGAGAAGAAAGAGACGAGTAAAGACATGAAGGGCAGACTTGATCAGAGGAAGAAGGAGTAGAACACTCGTGTGAGAGGGATGGGGTGGTGGCAGTGTGGGGGGGGGGTGGGGGTTGTACTCTAGGGTTTGAGAAAAGGAGGAATTGATTGACAGTCGATGTCTTGCCTTGTGCTGAGAGCACTAGATGTGAGCAGGCGCATTGCGGAGAGGCCGGGGTGACGGATGGCTGACTTCACCGGCCTGACTTTTCGTCTTTTCCCTCTCTATCTCTCTTTATCTCTCTCTCCATCTGGTGTAGTCAAACACAGAGCAATAGATTGAGAAAACGTCCAGTGGTAGCAGCACATCTCTCCACCGCATCAGTGTGCAGAGTAAGCACTCTGTCCTACTTCAGAGATTTACACTATTACTACACTCCTCTATCACCACTGAGCTACAACAGGAGTGAAAACAAACTGTACATGTCTCAGGTTTGGTCACACCACCATAGCAGAAGTTAATCAGTCAATCAGTCACTAAAACTTTATTTTTCTCATAGGCAGGCATAGTTGTTTAGTAACCACTTTAAAGGGGACTTCCACCTTCTTTTTCTTTTATCTCTGTAAATTTCCATTACTGAGATGTAAACAAAGTCATACTGACTGTTGTGATGTGAAATGGCTGAAATGGCATTTTAGAGAAACTTACTGACTCAAATGTCTTTATAGTGGTTATTGTAGGAACCATATAAGCTGTAACGCACATATTGCCATTTGATTTACAATAGTGGTAAATAAAAGTGGGAAATCTGAGAAACTTCTTTGGGTACTAGTTTGCCTTATAACACCATTCAAGTGCCTCTCCACCACAAAAAATGATTGCAAAATTATTTTTTCAGGCAGCATATTTTTTGTGATAACATTCTCTTGGAGGCATCAAATCTGGTTCCTATCACCACCA